CAAAGTGCCTGATGCATTTCTATAACTATTGACATTTATCAAAGTTCTTAGAGTTTCCAAAGGCATGTTATTTAGGAAGTGGATGCCACTCCTGCTTCCAAAAAGATGGGGATCTTAAAATGTACATGCACATATTTTGCATTTAGAAATTGAAAGAAAATGTTTTAAATTTAAATAAGTTGAAAAATATCTGAAGAGAAATTTTAAAAATACTTAAACAATTGTACTTGATGTCAAAACGTATAGAAATAATAGAAGAAATCAATGTGATGGAAGTAAAAACTCTAGAGGAAGTGATTTGTGAAATCAGAAATGGTTCTTTGTATAATTTACTAAAACAAATTTGTCTAAAAGGAAGAGCATAAATCTTCAATATGGATTACATCTCAACATAAAGCCAAAAGGCCTACCTCTGGGCCAGTTGACAGAACCATGATAGATGGAGAAGAGGTTGAGCATGTTAAGAATTTTATTTTGTTCAGATCCACAATCAAGACTCTTGGTACCAGCAGTCAGGAAATCAAGAAGAGTGGCTTTCGGAAAATCTGCTGTCAGGGATATCTCCAGATAAGGATTAGCAAAGTCACCTGTGACCCCTAGTGACCCTGTGTACAGCAACTCTGAAGCCTGCCATGTCCTGAGCCAGTCTCACTGATTCTGACACACCCACCCCCATTGCCCCAGTTACTATATCAATGCATCTCATCCAGCGTCTTCCTCTTTTGCACTGTCCCTCCACCCTTCCAAGCATGATGTCCTTCTTCCAGCACCAGCCTCTCCTGGCCATGTGCCCAAAGTATGTGAGACAGAACTTTAATACCCTTGCCTCCAAGGAGAAACTTGTTTTAACCCTTTCCAAGACAGACCTATGTGATTTCTTGGCAGTCCTCGGTATGACCAAGGCTCTTCTCCAGCACCATAAATCTAAGGCATCAATTCTTCTTCTGTCATCTTAGTCATCACCTATCTCACTGATGCACAGCATGCAATTGCAAAGACCATGGACTGGATTAGGCACATCTTAGTCTCTAGATTGACATCATTGCTTTTCAGTACTCTGGGGAAGTCCCTGAAAGGAGATTTTCCTAGTGCAATTTGTCTTTTGATTCCCTGACTGCTGGAACTAAGAGTGTTGATTGTGGAGACGAGCAAGCTGTAATTGTTAACAACCTCAATCAATAAACAATTAATGTTTAAAGAGTAGCTACTAAGATATACAGAAACCTAGAAGTTCACTAAGGAAATGAATAGACAACTTTAGAGAAGGAGAAATTCACTTGGACCCAACAAAAAATTATAAACCCACCAATTTTTCAGTGTAATCAAGGATATGATTCTAAGTCATGCAATTTAATTAATTGAGAGGTAACATTTGAGAGTCTTTATACTTTAAATCACGGATAAATTCATTATTTAGGTTGGAGCAGATATTTGTGGGTTTGTGGCTGATACAACAGAAGAACTTTGCAGGAGATGGATGCAACTTGGGGCATTTTATCCATTTTCGAGAAACCACAATGCTGAAACATACATGGTAAGAACTTAATTTTTACTCTACGTGTTTGAAAATAAAATGCAGTCGCATTATTGGCAATACACTAAAACTCAAATCTACACAGGCATGGCTCAAAGATTGTATATTTTAAAATTAATAGCCAAAAGACATATTCTCCAAGCATATAAATATTTTGCATTTAATATGCTAACATAAATATTAAACCTAAAGAATGTCTATGTATGTCAAACCATCAATATTTTTAGTTAGGTTTAGCTTTTTTTTTGACAAGTTCTGATGGCAGAGAGGTGACCTATTAACTTAAAGGCCATGACTCTCTGAGACCTTGAATCCATCTCCACACAAGGAAGATAGACAATATCTTCCTGTGTGATTTTCTCCCTCAGAAACTCACTGGAGGGTCAGTTTTAAATCCTCTTCTGCTTGAGGCTATAAATTAAGTTAGTTACATCTTTGAACTGGATTCTACCAATCTGAGTTTGGACACTTTAATTAATAATAATAATAATAAAAACAATAACAGCAACAACAATGTTGTTGTTGTCTGCCATTAAGTTGAAATCAATTGAAAGCTCACCACACAGTTAGTTTTCAAGCTGTAAATCTGATAAGTGGAGATTGTCCCTCTCTCTCTCTCTCCCACGGAACAGCTGCTAGTATACTTGAACTGCTCCCCTCTGAAATGTCAGCACAGCCACTTACGAACTACGTCAACAGTACTGACCAGTAATAATGATAATATTAGAGATTTCTAGTTTATATTTCACAAAATATAAAAGATATTAATAACAAAAAAGCATTTAAGTCCAAAATCTTATAATTAATAAATTATTATTATAGATTGGAAGCAAAACCAGCACTTTTGAAGCATCTGCATGCACTGGTAGAAGTGGAAATACTAGGATATTATTGAAGTATTTTAGCAGACATAAAAATTCACCATACTGTAGATTCTCTTGGGTAGTGTTTCCCAGAGTTACGCGTGAAATTTATTCAAGCCAAGAAATCCGTTAATTACCCAATAGTTGGTAAAATTGTGAACATATTGTTAGCATATAAAGTTTTATTAGGAGAGGACCAGCCCCTAAGAGCTTAGAATAATATGAGTCATGATAGAGTAGAAATAACTGGTACGTATTATAGATTAGTCACTTCACAGTCAATATACATGGTTCGACATTGGAATAAAAAGGGTGGTAATGGCAATTTCAGTATAAATTGCATTACCTTTGGTTCATTTGTGTATTGCAATTCAAAGAAGCAGACACTGACTCACAATCAAAAATGTGTTTCTGTTGGCAGAACTTGCAAAGGATTTATTGGATAATATTTATTATTCAAATGGGAGTAAAGTAATTGGAGCATTAGTACATGGAAGAAACCAGAACAAAGTACAGGGCAAACCTTGGTGAAGAAAAAAGGGGAGAAGGAAGGTTTAGTAAGGAGGTCCTTGAACTGGAATCCGGTTCTCACACATTTTCAGCCAAGAGCCCTGGAAACGCATTCTTGTATATAGGAGGAACGCCACGATTCCCAAGAACAGGCCTGTAACATGCTCCCACTCGGCTAATTCACTGACTAGATGAGGCCAGAAGGATGTGTGCTGACTGTTAGGCTTTAGCACGAGATTGGAGCAGGGTTGCTTAAGTGCTATGTGTTAGCTGAGGAAGTCAGGTTGATCTAGCCTCTTCAGGGAGACTACCTGAAGGTGCGATTCTACAGGTCTGTCAAGTAGCTCTGTTCCTCGTCTCTGAGGGATTGTAGACAAGAGCAAGGCATAAGACAACAACTCCTCGCACAAGCAAATCTCCAACACGTCCTTGAATGCCACATAGGTACTGAGATCACGTTAGCTGGAATATGTCAAGTGGCAGAACACAAACATAGGGATGAAAAGTCTGGGTACAAGACAGTTAAAGACTTGGGAGCGGCAATTCATTCTAACACCACTAATATATATGGAAATTTTACTTCTTTAAATTTTTCTTGTTCTTTTAAAAGTATGTATATTTGTGAAATTCCCACTATATACAAAAGTTTCATTAAAGTTTTAATTCATTAAAATACATAGGCAAGTGAAAGCTTGGATATCTGAGAACTTTAATGATGAAATAATGATAATGGCAACGTTTGAAAAAGAGGTCAAAGTTTTATAAAGGTTTATAAAGGTTATAATGCTTCTATTTTAATTTTCACTTACACCTGGTCTCTTTTTTAATGCAATTTCGGTTTGTATTACTTAGGAACAGGATCCTGCCTATTTTGGACAGAACTCTCTTCTGGTTAATTCATCACGCCACTACCTCAATATTCGCTATACGTTGTTACCTTTCCTCTACACTCTGTTTTATAAAGCTCATCGGTATGGAGAAACAGTAGCAAGACCGTTTCTGCATGAGTGAGTAAAAGAATATTTTTGATATATTTTTAAAATACACCCTCCCCGTCTTCCTTTCTTCTTTCCACTTTTTTCCTTTTCTTCCAACCTTCCTTCCTTCATTTCTTCTTTTGTCCTTCCCATTTCGCTCTCTCTCGCTCTCACTCTCACTTTCTTCCTCTCCCAACCTCCTTTATCTTGTTCTTCCTCCCCTCCTCCTCCTCCTCCTTCTTCTTCTTCTCCTCCTCCTTCTCCTTCTCCTTCTTCCCTCCTCCTCCCCTTCTTCTTCTTCTTCTCCTCCTTCTCCTTCTTCCCTCCTCCTCCTCCCCTTCTTCTTCTTCTCCTCCTCCTCCTCCATCTCTGTCTCTCTACCCCCTTCTCTCAAACAATTGATTTAAATAATCTATATTTGTAAAGGAAACAATTAGCAGCATGAGGACGACGGGTTTGACTTCTACTAACTCCACAAAGGAGAACTGTCCCCATCAACAGCATCTGCAATAGAAAACCAATCTCTAAAATGTCAAACATCATCCTCCACTCTGCTGCACCTACTTCTACTAATTAATTACAAGGCTGTAATGCATTGCAAATGAACACAGACATTACACAATCATTTTACTCACAATTGTGGGGTTTATTAGGGGAAAAGGTCTATTTAGGGGAGGAGGAAGGCAAAATATATCACATAGTGAAAATCGAGACTCAGTGAAGAGCAGTCCCAAGCCAGGTTAACAGCAAGACACAATTCCTCAATTAGTTAGAAAGTTTCACATTCAACAGCAAGATACTTATGATGCAGCAGCCTCTGACCTCAAAGGACATGAACGCTACTTTCTCTATTGCTTGTTCTTTCCTGATATAGAATGCTCCATCCAGCTCTATCAGGCTGTGACTTACCACGATCTTGCTACAGTCTGGTTAACTCTCTCTCTTATTTTGGCCTCACAGTTGTTGATGTTGAAGGTACTGATCAGCGGTGAGCTATGTATCTGCACTTGAGGCAGCTGCAGGCCACATTCCCAGGGGAGCTAAGGTCCCAACAATTCATTTCACATGTATATTCTCACATGGCCAAGTGGTCAGGTGTAAGGCAGTGGATAAAAATACCAATGCCATGGGGTTTTATTTGTTTTCAATTTGTTCATTATACACTGCTTTGGCCTTAGGTTTTATGATGATACGAATAGTTGGATAGAGGACACTCAATTCTTATGGGGCCCAGCATTACTTATAACTCCCGTCTTAAGACAGGTATGCTTTGTGTTTAATATTTTTTAATAAATATGTAGCATGTGAGTAATAGACATCTATTGTAATATCTGTTTCTCTTTGAAGCTGAATAGCTCTAGTGGAAAAGTGGGTAAAATTTTGAACTGCTCCACAAGACATAGATGTGGCACGCAGTTTCTGAATGGATTTACAGCTTAGAAATAATATGGGACAGTTCTAGTCTGTCCTATAGTATCTTTGTAAATCAGAATTGATTCAACAACAATGACTGTTTCAGGTTAATAAAAGTTTAGTTGAGTTCTAAAATGTAATAAATTTTTTTCAAATAATCATTATAATATTAATCAAATTTTTGTTTGTCAAGTGTTTAATAGCTAGCCAGAGGCAATAAACTCACTGCCAACAACTTGTTTCTAACTCAAAGCAATTCTGTAAAAGAAAGTAAACTATTTCCTAGGGTGTGTGGGGTTGCGACTTTTACAGAAACAGAGCCTACCTTATCTTTGAAAGAGCAAATAGTAGAGTCAACCACTGAGCTTTCTGTCAGCAATACAATGTCTAAACTAAAGTGCCACATGGACTTCTTGCCTGGGGACAAGAGGATTTTAAAATGCAACATTCACTGAATCAAAATTAAATCTCACAAAAATAGTAGTATGTTCAGTTAACCACATGCTGGCACTGAATTTTTATAAATTGTAAACATAGAGGAATTTAAAAACCAGACAGCTGCCAATCATAAATATCATATAAGTATACTATAAAATGTACTAAAATGAGTTATGTTTAATTTTCATAAAGTCTGTGTGCCCCTGGGCATATAAAATGTAGATGTATTTCTATGATCAAGCAGTTTTAATATTAGACAATTTAATACATAATTTTCATTGACATATCAAATATTTTCATGTTTGTCTACTTGCTTTTGAATGTACTGATATTTTTACTAGTCAGAATTATAGAAGTATAAGAATACAATTTTTTGTTTTACTTTTTCTTCTGACTATGAAAATCCATGTAATTATTTAATTAATTTCTGTAAAAACTTAAAAATAAAAATTTGTTTTTCTGTGATTTATATTAGGGAGCAAATGTTGTGAGTGCATACATCCCGGATGCTACCTGGTATGATTATGAAACTGTAAGTAACATTAATAGAATAATAAATACCTAAGAACTCTATTTTGGAATACTTAGACATAGAAACTTAATTTAAAATATAAAAGAATGTATTTTCATGATTTCTGTCATTATTACATGAAAGCATAGTTTTATGTTTAAAGCTATATAAGTATTTTTCTAAGTCTGTTATTTGTTGTACATAGCACGAGATTATTACATTTTATAAAGTCTATGAAATTTTATTTGTTGTTGTAAAAGAATTCAATCTCATTTTAAAATTTGTTATTGTTGTTGCTGTTATGTGCCATCGAGTCTCTTGCGGCTCATAGCGACCCTAAGTACAACAGCCCTAAACTCTGCTCTGTTCTGTGCCAATCGCACTGTCTGTGACACTCCCATCCCAATTACCCAAGTCACTGAATCAATCCACCTCATAGAGGGCCTTCTCCTCCTGCACTGTCCCTCCACCCTCCCAAGCATGATGTCCCTCTCCAAGGACCTGTCCCTCCTTGCAACATGTTCAAAGTATGTTACAAAGAGCCTTAGAATCCTTGCCTCCAAGGAGCAGCC